TGCGCCACCAATGCCTGGCTGTTAATTCGTTTTGTTACCCCCCAGAGGCACCTAAGGAGTGAGTATGAGGAAGAGGGCTTATGTATGGGGGTAGGGAGTAACCCCTTTGGGTGATTTTAATAAGGGCAATGTGAGCCAATCTGGAGGGCTTCGCTCATGCTTTTGTTTAATTGAAACAAGGTATCAGCTTATAGTCTTGAATTTACAGAGACGTATCCGACTCGGCCTCGGGAATGCAGAAATTAAAGGCTTGCACTATATGAACTGTGTCCCTAGGCCTAATCGTTCTTATTCTGTTGCCTGGCTGGTAACCCTGTTTCCCTAATGGTGAAACCAAGGTTGAGAAGATTTAAGCAGAACCTCCAAGGTCACAGTCCGGACGGGGTCGAACCAGGACTTAAACATAGGGATCCGCTTTTGGGAAACCCTATAACTGAGGCTTGCGTTTCAGGCTCAGCTAGCAAGCACAGCCTTCCCCGCTGCTCATACATCGGGGTTCTTTTTCATGAAGTCGGTAACAGTTGTCCCACCCTCCTCTCAGAAAAGAACAAGGAGGCTAAGGAACCCTAAACACGAGCTTCTCTGCACACACTCAATGGAGGCTTCTGGACAACGGAAACTTCCAGTTCAACATTGACACCCCCACCCCCACCCCGCGCCAAGCTCCTGAGGTAAGGGTATGCCCCTTTCAGGCTGGAGACTTTGGGACAAAGGATTTGCGGGGGCTCCGGAGAGGAGTTGGGTGACTCCTTGGTGCCCCCTAGTGGTGCAAGTGCTTAGACAGTAGGGTCTGGCTTGGATGGCCATTAGGGATGAATAAGATATATTTTGTTTTTCAAGACATGGTTTCTCTGTGCAGCTCTAGCTATCACAGAACTCACTCTGTAGGCCAAGAAGGCCTCAAACATCAGAGATCTGCCTGCCTCTGCTGGGATTAAAGGCGTGCACCACAGCCGCCAGGTCAGTGTCCACATTTTTGCATGCATGTGTGCCTGCAGGCCAGCAGTATCCAATTATTTTTTTTTTTTTTTGGTTTTTTCGAGACAGGGTTTCTCTGTATTGTTTTGGAGGCTGTCCTGGAATCCGCTCTGTAGACCAGGCTGGCCTCGAACTCACAGAGATCCACCTGCCTCTGCCTCCCGAGTGCTGGGATTAAAGGCGTGCGCCACCAACGCCCGGCTCAGTGTCCACTTTTTTAAATGCTTGTTTGGATATTTGTGGGAATACAAAAATACCCAAGCCAGGTTTCTTGGTGCCAGGGGCTCAGCCTTGTTCTGAGATAACTTATAAATTGTTAGTTACTCCAGATGCAGATCCCAGGGGTCACAGAGTCAAGGAGCAAGCAGCCAGGCGTGGGGCTCCCTAGATGCCAGGGGTATTTTGAGAAGTGGCAGGGACTGTGGCAAGCATATCTCCTGCCTGCCTCTTAGCACAGACTGGTTCACCTTGTGCTGAGCTCTCACGCCACTCTCTCAAGGACAGGTGCATCTCTTGCTTGAAAGTGGACTATCATTGGGCTAGGCACATTGCTCAGCTGGTAGAGTGCTTGCCTAGCCTACCAGGAGGCCCAGTGTTCTGTCCCCAGACGTCATAACCCAGCATCGTGGTGTACCCTGTAATCCCACCATTCCAGAAGTGGAAGCCAAAGGATCAAGAGTTCCAGGGCGCCGGGCGCTGGTGGCCCATGCCTTTCATCCCAGCACTCGGGAGGCAGAGGCAGGCGGGTCTTTGTGAGTTCGAGACCAGCCTGGTCTATAAGAGCTAGTTCCAGGACAGCCTCCAAAGCCACAGAGAAACCCTGTCTTGAAAAACCAAAAAGAAAAAAAAAAAGTTCCAGGACACACTGCACACTACATAGGGAGTTTGAGGCCAGCCTCGAACATATGAGACCAGCCTGGAATATAAGTGATTCTGTGTCTGTAAAACAAGAAGTGGAACCAGGTGGTGGTGGTGCAGCTTTTATTCCCAGCACTTGGGAGGCAGAGGCAGGCAGAGCTTTGTGAGTTCAAGGCCAGCCTGGTCTACAGAACAAGTTCCAGGACAGCCAGGGCTACACAGAGAGACCCTGTCTTGAAAACCAAGGGTGTGGGGAGTGGAAGAAGTGGACTATTGAGCTTCGTAGGGGACAGTTCACCGTGAACTTCTGTCTTAGTGATTTCCCTCTCTCTCATCCATCTGACTCTGTCCAGCTCTCCTGTGGGATTACTAGAATGGAAACTAAGGCAGGAGAGATGCCTTGGTAGCAGCAGCATTCTTTTTTTTTTAACATTTTATTTATTTATTGTGTATACAGTCTTCTGCCTGGTGGTTGTGAGCCACCATGTGGTTGCCGGGAATTGAACTCAGGACCTCTGGAAGAACAGTCAGTGCTCTTAACCTCTGAGCCATTTCTCCAGCCCCAGCAGCAGCATTCTTTAGTGGGTGCAGGCTCCTTTAACTGTAGCCTTTTGCATTCCTCATCCTTTAATTTATTCATTCCCCAGCTGTTGCCTGCCTCACTCCACATTCTACAGCCTGCGTTGTGCTGTGTTCCACCATTAGCCGGAAAGGCTTTCTGATGAAGGAAACAGTCCCATGGCCAAGGATAGCCCAGTGCGCATGCTCAGACTCCGGAACGGATCCTTCCGCCTAGAAAGCTTAAATCCTGGGGTATGGGGGTATGGCGATAGAGCCAAGTCTGAAGGGCTAATCTAGACATTTCAGTCTAGAAATCAAGTCCAGGCCAGAGGGGGCATCCAGGCACACAGGCTCCCTCTGCTGGGCCCCTATCTGCTCTGCTTCTGGTCTTGGCTCAAATGTTCCCTCCTCAGAGTCCCTTTCTGTGGCCATCTGTGTTGACTGTTCTTGGTTGTCAACTTGACTACATCAGGAATAAACTAAAACCCAAGAGACTGGGTACACCTGTGAGGAATTTTTTTTTTAATTAAATCATTTGAATCGGGAAGATTCAATCTGGGTCACGCCTCCTGCTGGCAACCTATATGAAGGACATGGAAGAAGCGAGCGTCTTTCTTGGTCTGCCATCTCTGGCAAATCCATCCCCTCACTGGCATTAGAATCTACTTCTCCAAGATTCTGGATATACCGAAGATCAGCTGAGACACCCAGCCTCATACACTGAACAACTATTGGATTAGTGAACCTTGCATTGGTAGACAGCCATTGTTGGACAAGCCGTACCCTGTAAGCCTTTCTAATAAAGTGTGTGTGTGTGTGTGTGTGTGTGTGTGTGTGTTCATTCTATAAGTTCTGTCCCTCTAGAGAAACCCGGCTAATATGCCACCCTGTACGTGAACTCTATTTTTTCTGATTGTGTAGCACTGTCGCAGTTTCTGGGATCATTTTCCATTTTTCCACATTGTAATAGGTCTTCCTCGGCATCCTGAGGTGAGCTGTGTCAGCTCCGTGTACTGTGGGCTCTGCAGAGCCCAGCACCTAACACGTTCAGGGTGATTGATCAGTACTCATGGAAAAACAAGGTCCCACGAAAGGACAGGTGCTACCCTTTATCACCCACAGCAGGATGAACACTGAGAACTGCTCACCTTTATCACCCGCAGCAGGATGAACACTGAGAACTGCTCACCTTTACACTGAGAACTGTTCATCACCTTTGTTCTGTCTTTGCTGGCTCCGCCTCTTTCCTCCACTCTAACCCAGTCCTCACAATGGCTTCCTTGTTTAAAATCCTGAAGCTTCCTGACAGTCTTTCCTGAATTTGCTTTCCGCTCCTGTTCCTTGAGATGATTCTTGGGGAAAGGCAGAAAGGAGGGCCGGCCCTTGAGATTGGGGAGAGAATCCCCTGGGAGCACCCAGGAAGGTGACAAGATTACCAGGGTGAGGCACCTAGATAGGCTGTCCCTTCTCCCTCTACACTGATGCACTGTTGCTTGTGGATGCTGGTCTTCACAGGCTTCAGTAGCCATGGCGAAGTCCTGGGGGATGTGGCTGAACCTGTGTCATCCTGTGTGGAGACGTGACTGAGGTGAGATCCACTGTACTCCTCAGGGACATACAGTCCAGTGCAGATTAAAGTAGACCCCCCCCCCAATAGAGAATTGCTAGCCTTATCATGCCTGCCTCAGGGCCAGGGACATCTGCGGCCCTCAGGGAACACGTCTGCCTTTTGTTGCCTAGGCCTTCCAGGAGTATCTTCACCAGGATATTCCCAAGGAGAGGACTTCCAGGCACCCAGATGGTCTCAGGGGAAGACATCTTTAAGCAGATGTCTTCTCCTAGTGCGACTTCTCCTGGGAAGTAAGGAAACATCTCTTCAGGGGCTAGAGAGATAACTCTGGTTAAGAATGTGTACTGGCGCACACCTTTAATCTCAGCACTCAGGAGGCAGAGGCAGGTGGATCTTTGTATGTTCGAGGCCAGCCTGGTCTACAGAGCGAGTTCCAGGATAGGCTTCAAAGCTACAGAGAGACCCTGTCTCAAAGAACAAAACAAAGAATGTATACTGCTACTTAAGAGAGCCCAGTTCCATTCCCAGCACCCAGGTCAAGTGGCCCACAATCACCGATAACTCCAGCTGCAGGGGGACTGCACACCTCCTGCCTTCCTGGCACCCTGAAGCTGGAGTTGCAGGTGGCTGTGACTATAACCTGCCTGATACAGGTGCTGGGAACCTAGCTACTGCCCTCTGCCAGAGCACAATAGGCTGTTAACCACAGAACGATCTCTGCAGCTGCTCCTGAAGATAGTTGTTGACAGCTCTTTCCCAATCAGACTGTCAAAGCCAGAGTCTCAGGAAGAGCCCAAACTCAGAACTTCTCTAGAGTGTCTTTGTGTTAACTTTTGGGTGACAGTTACTCACCTTGTTGCTCCACTGTTTGTCGCCACCCTCAGATAACTCAGTCTTTCAAATGACAGTTGCTGTGAACAAACCCTCCCAGACCTCACACCAGGTTGCTGTGATCTGGAGCGTTGTGGTGGCTGAACAAACATCACTATGTGCACTCCCTCAGTGAGGGAAAGAGACCAGGCAGGAGGCACAGTTACACGATTCACAAGTTTATTTGACCTAAATAAATACAACCTGAGAACATCCATTCCAGTGCCTTACACATTAGCTCTCCTAAAATGAGCACATTTTGCAGCGCCCGCTCTCAGGACAGGCTCAGAAAGGTGTTTACTTGGGGCTGTGTTAGGCTGAGATCAGCTGTGAAGGTAATTAAACTTCTATCTTGAGTTTGTGTCTGGCCTGTATCCCCTGTAGGCTCCTGCTACGGTTTGGATGGTTTTCCTTATGGGTTTATGTGCTGGAAGCGTGGTCCCTAGTGCAGCAGGGTTAAGATGACGTAACTCTTAAGAGATGGGCCACATGGAAGGTAACTAAAGCAAGGGGTCCTGCCCTCAGGAATGGGTTAATGCTGTTCCACAGAATTACTGTATCCTGCGGCTCGTCTCATTATATGAGCACCCCTGCATGTGTCCCTGTTGGGTAGTGCCAGCTGCCATGAAGCCCTGGCATAGCTGAGCACAGTCTGGTTCCATGTTCTTAATCTTCTAGAATTGCAGGTTAAATAAATCATTTTCTTCATAAAGTACTCATCCTTGTGTATTTTGTTATAATAACACAAAGAATATTAAAACATTCCCCAGGGCTGGCAAGATTGCTTATGAGGCCTGCCACCAAGCCCCATGACCTGAATGTAACCCCCAGGACCCACCTGGGGGAAGAGAGAACCACCTCGCTCTGGCTGTTCTCTGATCTTCACATGTACACAGAATAAATACATGTAAAAACAGGCCCTGCCTGTGGGGTCTGCACTGCCTCTCCAGGCTACAGCTCAGGGCTCTGTGCCAGTGTCCAGCCCTTGCACAGAGCTTTGTCCATCTCCAACCTCTGACCCTGGAAGTAGTTTCTCCAGGGAAAGGGGTGACACTGAGAAAAAGTTGGTAAATAGACAGGAAACCATGTCCTTACCCCCACCAGAAGGCTGAGCGAGGGAAGAAACACAGGCCCCTCTCCCAGTTATCCCCTAGGGCCTTGACCCATAAAGAAGCCGGACGTTGGGTAGTCCACGTTTGTCTTCTCTGTCAGCTGAGTCAGAGGTTTGGGTCCATGTTCTCCAGATCTGAATTTGCCTCCTCATCATCTTGGGACTCCTAGATCAGAACCAGAAAGGCAGCCACAGGTTTGTGCCCATCCCCAGGGCCGCAGCCCGAGGGCCAACATCTCTTTCCTTCTGCCTCCACCCCAGAGGAGTGAGAAGAAAGATTTGCTGCCCTAGGACTCTACCCGCCAGGCCTTCCCTCTGTCCTAACCCTGCCCACACCGGGAAGGCCCATTTTTAGGTGACTCCTTACCAGACTGAGGCCCCTGCCCTGCCGCAGGGTGGCATAGAAGTGCAACACTTGGGGATCACAGCGAACCACCGTGGGGTCAAAGTCTAGCACACGTAGGCCCTGGAGGCTGCGGGCCCTCGAGAGGGCCACATAGGCTTGACCACTGGCAAACACGCGGCCCAGAGAGATCTCCACACAGTCCAGAGACATGCCCTGGGTGATGGAGGGACAGTTAAAGCCATCTTAGCCTGATGTCTCTTGCATTCGAATGACTTTCATCAGCCCATCCAGAGTCTCAAGGAAGAGGGGGTAAGCAGGGGACAGGAATCCAGGGTAAGAATTGAGGGACAGGGTGTGACAAAGAGCTTTAGCAATGGTCAAACAGGTGCAGAGCTAAATCTGTACAGAGCTAAACTCTACTAGCTGAATGGCCTGGACAGGTTTTTTTTAGCATATTGATTTTCTGCCTTGTGTAACACCAACTATTATAGTTTTATCTACACTTCATACGGTTGTTATAGGGATTAACCTACTCTGGTCATGGTCAGGGAATGGCAGAGGAGTGCCTAGAAATGGGGAGAAGAATGTAGACTAGGGAGTGCATTAAAGAAAGGTTTAGGGCTGGGGATGTGGCTCAGCTTGCCTAATAGGCATGAGGGCCTGGGTTCAATCCCCAGCACCCACATAAACTAGGAACGACAGGGTGCATACTTGTAAAACTAGCCTTTAGGACACTGAAGTAGGAAGATTAGAAGTTCAATGTCCTCTACAGCTACATAATGAGTTTGAGACTAGCCTAGGCTACATGAGACCCCAAGGAGAGAGGGGAAAAGAATGGAAGGAAGATTGGTAGGTTTATTTTGATCTGGAACATTCCATCCAAGGGCTATTCAGTCCCCCTAAAGCCTTTAAGACATATTCCAGAATGTCCCAGCATCTCCTGCCCACTCTCTACCCTATTTTGCTCACCCCTGCCCTGGGTAGTCACCTGGCTTTTGTGGATGGACATTGCCCAGGCCAACTGTAGGGGAAGTTGCTGCCGGCTGAGGAACTGGCCCCCAGTGACCTGTACCGTCCAGCGGTCAGTTCGGATGACTTCAGTGACACCACACAGGAACCGTACTTGGGGAAGCCCTGAGGAAGGCGTGGAGAAGTCCCACCTTTTAGCCACCCTGTGGTTTGTCCTGCTGTGAAATAAACCCAAGAAGTACGACCCTCTCCAACTCACTTACCTCTCCCTTCTGACTCAAATCCAACTACCACTCCCCGGGCTCCATTTACCAGGCCCCGAGACACTGACAAGTTCTTCACCAGCATGACCTGCGGAGGAAGAAGTACAGGGATGGAAAGGGACCCTCCCTGTGCCTGACTCTTCTCTGGCAGTTAGGATTCAAAGAGAGGGTGGACACTGTCATGGAGTTGAGTCCCAATTTTTTTTTTTGTTTGTTTTTTGAGACAGGGTTTCTCTGTAGCTTTGGAGCCTATTCTGGAACTTGCTCTGTAGACCAGGCTGGCCTGGAACTGGCCTCCCGGGTGCTAGGATTAAAGGTGTGTGCCACCACTGCTTGGCTTGAGTCCCAATTCTTAGCATGACCACCAACTGACTGTGACCTCTAGAACAAGCTGCCTTATTTTCCTGGAAATATCTTGGCCTTATCTTGTGTCAAGCGAGCTTACTATTCATCACATTGCCAGGAAAGGAGATGGCAAAGCAAGGAGGGTAAGCTACATCGCAGGACTTTGCGAAGAGTTAGATCTAGCTGGGTGTTATGGCACATGCCTTCAATTCTAGCACTCAGGAAGTAGACAGGAGGATCTCTATGAGTTCAAGGCCACCCTGGTCCACTTAACAAGTTCCAGGCCAGCTGGGCTACATGGTTATCCTGCTTCCAAAAGAAAACAAACAAACAAACAAAAAAAGGCAGGTGGGATTATATCTGCTAAGAAGATCACAAAACTTGAGGAATGACACCAGCTCCCGCCACCTCTCTTTCAGTCACAATGTGCATTTCCCATATGTGCACAATGGACTCTGAGGAAAACCTACCAGTCTTGCCCATCCCATGAAAGAAGAGTCAGAACCTGTCCATCTATAAGGTATACTGACATAGATCGCCATGGGGGAGACAGTCCACCTGGGAACTGAGTTTCAGTAAGTAAGAGAAAAAGACTTGTCAAAAGCAGCGTTGCTTGACAGGGCTCTTGATGCTCAAGAGGAAGGGGAAGCTGAAGACAGAAAAGCAGGGGAAAGTGGTCTCAGTGGTCACAGTAGGTCCATCAACTATCAAGTGGCCTTGGTAGAGTGTTAATAATCAGAGATCTATGCCGCCCCTGCTTTTTTACTCACCTGAGCCCCAAGCTTTAACTGAAGGACACGGCTAACAGGACACTGGGCATCCAGGGTCCGGGCTAGCTCAGGGTCACTGTCTATAGCCTCAAAGCTGTGCACCTCACCTGAAAAGGGAGAATTGGGAAACCAGGTTATATATTATTGACTTGTGACTCAGCTTCCAAAACTGTAGAGATCAAGATGGTTGTGGGGGATGGGCTGGGCAGCTCAGCTAAGGCCTTGGGATCTGCTCACCATAGCCTTTGGTTCATAGTTTCTTCTGTAAATGCACATAGAACTTGGGCCCAGTTTTCTTGGGATGTGGTGGGGGTGAGTGTCATACCTGTTTTGACAGCCCCTCCCAGCTGGTCTCAACAGACCCAAGCGTTCTATTTACCCGGCAGCTCCTTCAGCCGCTTCTCATTGGTAAGGGCCACATCATCCTGATGGGTGCAGAGTCTCGTGGCTATAATTCCATCTCTTCCCACTTTATGGGCAGCAGTGGCCCTGAGCTGGCGGGTGACTTCATCTGAACATCTGTGGGAGCTGCACTGTCAGATCAGAGGTCCCCTGGACACCAGAAAAGGTGGGGGCAGTATGGTCTGCCTTGGGACCCCAAAAGGGCACCAGGACAGGATTTTCTGCTACCCAACCCCCAGCCAGTCTACCGGTCCCTCAGATGTGGACATTGAGCATGGGGATAAGGATGCTGAACTCTGAATACAGGTGGAACACACCTGTGTCTGCCTCGAGAGGAACTGGCCACCTCTGAACCCACAGAGTTCATAAAGCAGCAGGATATCATGAGTGAGCATGAGCCAGAGGTTTGTAGGCCTGGAACAAGACACTGGTGTTGATACTCTGTAATACTGTCTATGCTATCATCCAACCAGCAACAAGACACTGGTGTTGATACTCTGTAATACTGTCTATGCTCATCCAACTGGCAACAAGACACTGGTGTTGATACTCTGTAATACTGTCTATGCTCATCCAACTGGCAACAAGACACTGGTGTTGATACTCTGTAATACTGTCTATGCTATCATCCAACTGGCAATCTTCTAGCCACTTGCCTACCGCCTTGGCTGAAATAGGTAGCCTGAGCATTTTTCCTTGTTCTTCTTTTTTTTCCTGAGCTCGCAAGAGTATGTATATGTGCGTGTAGAAGAGCATTTACACTTCTATAGGTTGGAAGTAAATGTTTTACTTTTAGCCTTTTTCCTCCCTATGAGACAGGATCTCACTATGTAGCTCTATCTGTCTTGGAACTCACTTTATAGACCAGGCTGGCTTTGAAATCACAGAGGCTTGCCTCTGCCTCCAAGTACAGGGATTGAAGGCCTGCGCCACTATGCCCAGCATTTTTTATCTTTTTTATTTCTTTGCTTGTTTGTGAGACAGGTCTGTCACTAAACCTAGAGCTTACTCATCAGGCCAGCAAGCTCAGAAATTCTTCTGTCTTGACCTCCCCAGCACAGAGATTTACAGGCATGTGCTGTCACCCCCAACTTTTTACATGGGCACCCAGGGATCCAAACTCAGGTCTGATGCATGCTTGTGTCATAAGCATTTTACTGACTGAACCATCTCCTCTCCCTGCTAGCCTATATTTCTATGTGAGGTATAGTATAGGTGGTAGGTTTGTTTGGTTTGGTTTAGTTTTTTATTTGTTTGTTTGTTTTGTTTTGTTTTGAGGTAATGTCTCCTTAAACAACCCAGGCTGGCCTCGAACTCACTGCGCTACCTCAGTCTCTTGCATCCTGTGTGTTGTGTGCCCAATGCCCAATAACATTCTTGACTATATTATATCCTAAGTTGTCTAATGTCCTGTCCAAACCTTGTTTCCTGTACAGACTGCTCGCTACCGAGGACAAGCATCTCTCCTACTTCCCTGGACCAGGTGTGGTTACTAAAGCCTATGAATCCTAGGACTGAGGGGGTGGAGGCAAGACTCAGTAGTTCAAGGTTACCCTTGGCCACATGGCAACTTCTGGACCAGCCTAGGCTACGTGAGACCTGCCACGCCCAAACAAAATAACGCATCCTTGTATTCTCACCCCATGGCCTTTTCCAGTACCCACCTTCCCAACCTCACAGCTTGCAGCAGAGAGATGAAGGTCTGATCTGCCTGTCTCCACACCTCAGTCAGCTCCAGAGTCACAGGCACACACTTCCTCCAACTCTTGGCCTAGTGGGGAAGGGTAGAGGTTGAGTAAGGGAGCAAAGAAGACTACCCCAGGAGGGTAGGGTCAGAGTCAGGGTGTAACTCCCCCAAAAGCACAGGTCGGGCAAGGGTGTGACCAGTACCTGGAAGCAGAATTGAGGGCGCTGGGAGCCTTTGGTCACTGGTGGCAACTGTAGGAAGTCCCCACAGATGATGAGCTGGATCCCTCCAAATGGCTTCTTCTGTTGCCGGACAGCTCTGGACAGGAGTGGAGAGTGCTATAGAGAGGGTGGGTGGGCAGGCTCCTTGGGGACATCACCAGATTCAAACCCCAGGGACTGCCCTTATTGTACCTACTGACCTGGCCACAGCTTCCAACTTGTCAAACAAGTCTGCCTCTACCATGGAGATCTCATCAATGACCAAACGTTGACAGTTCAGCCAGCCCTGCCGCACACCTGGTCGATGGGCCAGGGCCACACACTGGGCCAGGGGAGCCTGGCCTGAGCCAATGCCTGTGAGTGACACTCTTCAGTCTTTGCTGAAACCCGCCCCTCCCATCTCTCCCTCTTTTCCCATAGGCTCACACTTACCTGCAAAGGCGTGAAGGGTGGTGCCTCCGATGTGGCACGCTGCCACCCCGGTGCTGGCAGTGGCCACGGTGCCAGTCGGGGGCAGGGAGCCTAGAATTTGCTTCAGCAAATAGGACTTTCCTGTTCCTGGGCAGTAGGCAAAGTCAGAGTTGTCTGCTCCTCCGTGCCACCCGAGGGCTACCTGCAACCTCCCTCCACCCCATTCTGTCTCTGTTACCTGCACTCCCAGTAAAGAAGATGCTCTGGCCCTTCAGGACCAGCCTCAGCACAGCAGCCTGCTCCTCAGAAAGCTTCGGTTTGCTGGAATGCATGCTCAGCTTCTTCACAGGCAGGGGCCACCTTGGAGCTTCCTAGAAAGAACAGGGAGATCTCAGAACCTCCTGCCATGCTGTTTGGTTTGTGTGCATTGCAAGACAGATAGTCCTTTGCCTTGCTGTTAACTTCACTTGGAACTTTGAGCAGGTCTGGCTCATCTGGAGTTCACCCCGACAAACACTAGCCTCCACCTCTGGCTTTGCACCAGCTCAGTGCCAGGCATCTTAGCTTGGTGACCATACCTGATCGAACCTAAAGCCCTTTCAGACCTACCTGGTGCTTTTCTCAGGTGATTGGACTATCACCTGTCCCTGACCGGCTCCCCTTCTAGTCTTTCCAAAAGCTCCTCTCTTTGGGGGCTGTGACATCCGTTTCTCCTTCTTAAATTTCCTTGCCTAGTCTCTGCTGCTTTCTCTTTGAATGTGGTCTGGATCCCAGTTTCCAGTTCTCAGTTTATCCCAATCTCGGGAATTACCGGCAGGGAATCGTGGACGATTTCCACGTCCCTGTCACCAAACTCAGATGCTGTACAACGGGCATTTCAGATCACCAGCGGTCCCCTTAATACTGCCAACTATCTTCTTCCAACTTCGGGCCTCCTGGGTCTCTTCCATCCTCAACAGTAGCACACCCACTCTCTTTCTGGTCCTCACCGTACTAGGCTTTGATTCCGTTGGCCGCTTCTCCAGGGCGGAATCTGGAGCCCGGGTGGCCACGGCACGACGCAGTTCCTCCGGTTGCACTGGACTGATGGTGACAAAGTCTCGGGGTCGCGGGTCGAGCAGTTGTGCGCGAGCAGAGGCGGGTCCTGGCCCTGGGGCCGCCGCCAGCTTCAGACGCAGCGTGCGCAGGAAGCGGCGCAGGCGCTCCGGGGGACAGTCGGAGAGCAGCAGCTGCACTGAACCAGCCCGGGGGACGCCATCAACGGGGAGCCTCAGCGTGCTGCGCCCGGCCGCAGCGAAGCGGGTGAAGAGGCGCACGGCGCGCAGCGGAAAGCAACGTGGTTTCCCCACAGGTCCCGGGGCCTGCAGCCGCAGCATTAACTCTCGGCGTTCGTTTCGACCTAGGCTCAGCTCCGCAGTGCGCAGGGCCTGGCGCTTGCGAGGCTGCCCGCCAGGACTCAGCTCCTCCACGGCCACCCGGCACCGCAGCTCCGCGTCGTCACATTCACCTGTTGCCGCCTGGGTGCTAGAAAGCATCTCCAGTGCCTCTGCAGATTTGCAGAGACCGGAGCACACAAGTCACGGAAAATCGGGATGTTATAGGTGGTATGAATGCCGTGACGAAAAACAAAACAAAAACAAACAAACAAACAAAAAAACCTGTCCAGAACACTTAGGATCAGGGAGGCTGTCACTGGTAACAGAAGGAGCCACCAAGATACTACAAGCACTCTGGAGCGAGGAGAAAGCACTCTAGAAATGTCTTCTGCTGCAGTTCCCGGGGCGATGAAAGGTGGCGTCAAATGCACTTAGGGCTGTCGAGCCTCAGTTGTCCAGCAATGGCCAGATGAGAAAGTGGTTCCTGCTCAGAAAGGAAATCTGCTCCAGGAGACCCACCCAGGCCAGTACCGGACTCGTCAGGAACCGTAATGCAAGCAGAGCAATCAATCACACATTGGCTGGTGAGAAGCAAACTGGCTGGAGGTGGAAACAGGCTGAGGCAGGCACAGCCCCTTCATAAACCAATTAGGTATCAGGGTCCGTGCTTTGGAAAGGGTGAGTTCTTAGCTGGGGAATTTACGAAACCTCCAGGCCCAGTAATCCATTGTCCCTCCATCCGACCCACTTATCTGTATCTCTCCCGGCGGGGATCCCGAAAATAATCACGTTCTTTGCCTCCCACCTCAGGGATCCAACTCACTTTTTGCTTTCGGAGGAAAAAGTCGATCAGAACCGGCCGGCAGCAAAGCTACAGCTCTAAGAACATTCAAATACTAGAAATAGAAAAATCACCCTATCGCCGGCCTGTTCTTTAAATTCTCTAGCCAATCAGGGGTGGAGGCGTGGCCACGGGCGGGCCTTTCCTCTGTTTTCGACTCTAAGGACTGCTTTGTACAGTCCCCAGGAACCAGGCTTATCGCATTGCAGGACCGTGTGTTTTGGAGCTACACGAGTGGGCGTGGTGGGGTAGGGAAGCCGCTGCGGCTGCGCAGCGCGTGGCATACTGTCATCCAAAGCGGCTCTAAAGATTTGGGAACACTTCTATTAACATTGTCCCCTTTTCTCGAGCCCCCACACCTCACTGTGCTTGGCCTTAGGGAAAATATCCATCGTCCTTTGCACACCCTGTCCCCACCCACAGAATCATTGCCATCTTCTGGGCAGGCCATTCCACTTGCCAGTCAAGACCCGCTTCCCTCTCCCCTATTCTTTTCATCCTTCTCTGCCCTAGTAAGAATTATTCTATACACTTGTCTTTTTTCCCTTAAGTGTCAGGTGTCCAGAGGGTAGCGTGCGAGCAAGTCCTGTCTCAGGGAATTCTTACTTCTCTCGTGCTCAGAGAATTTAATCTTTTTCAGTTGGGGGTCTTGCTACATTGTGTAGGCTAGTCTTGAACTCCAGGGCTCAATGGATCCTCCTTCTTCATCTCCCTAAGCAGCTGTAACTACAAGCACCTGACACGATCCTGCTTTGAAAACTTACTTCTAATTATTATTTTTCCCTCATTCAAGTTTGAAATTACATAGCTGGAAGGAATCTTCCGGGTGAGTCGGGTCACATATTATTTTACAGATAATGATAACGACTACAGACTAAATTGCCTCCTTTCTCTTTCTTTCCTTCTTTGTTTCTTTGTTTCTTTCTTTTCTTCCCTCCCTCAAACCTCCCCCAATCCCCCCACCCCACTTCAGGGTACCGTGTATTCAAGGCTGACCTCAAACTTCTCAAAATTGCTACTTGCAGACACATGACACTGAGTTTCTAATCTTTCTGCTTCCATCTAAATGTGATTCCATGCATCTACCACCATGATGCGTGGTGCAACCATAGTTACATTCTATATTTAAAACTTTTTCTTCTTTAAGAATTATTTTACAGCTGGGTTCCAGAGCTACACAGAGAAATCCTGTCTCTAAAAACCAAAATAAATTACTTTATTTGTATGAATGTTTTGCCTGCTGAATGCCTTGAAACTGGTGGTCGTGAGCCACCATATGGTGGTTGAATTGTACCTCTACAAAACCTCTTTACTGCTGAGCCATCTCTCCAACCCTCAAAACTTTTCATCAGAACTGGAGAAATAACACAGAGGTTAAAATTCAAGGGATCCAACACCTTCTGGTACAAATACAAGCATGTAAGCAAAACACTCATACATATATATGTGTATATATTTAAACAAATATTAAACATTAAAAAATTGCTTTCATCATCTCACATAGAAACTTTGTACCTACTGAGACAAAAATTTACAATTTTTTTATTTTCAGACCCTGGCACCGCAACACTTTTATTATGAAAATATTCAGGCAAATACAATGCAGAATGGTTAAAAGAATTTTACAATGGGGTCCAAGTGATGGTTCAGCAGGTTAAGGCACCTGTCACCAAACCTGACAATCCAGGGACACTTTTGGTTGATGGAAAGATCCTCTCTCTCTCTCTCTCTCTCTCTCTCTCTCTCTCTCTCTCTCTCTCTCTCTCTCTCTCTCTCTCTCTCTCTCTCTCTCTCTCTCTCTCTCTCTCTCACACACACACACACACACACACACACACGTGTGCGCGTACGCACCCGCGCGCGCACACACACACTATAATTTTGTTTTGTTTTAAGACAGGGTTTCTCTGTATAACAGCCCTGGTGGTCCTGGAACTCTTTTTGTAGACCAGGCTGATGTCTAACTCACAGAGGCCTGCCTCTACTTCCCAAGTGCTGGGGTTAAAGGTGTGTGACATCACCACTCAGCCAAGAGCTTATTTTATGTATCTATTTAGTTGTGCTGGTGACAAAAGCTGATCAAATGCTCTACCACTGAGAAACACCTCTAGTCCCACTATTTTGTTTTCTTTTGTGTTTTGTTGTTGTTGCTGTTACTGTTTTTTGAGGCAGGGTTTCTCTGTGTAGACCAGGCTAACCTCAAATTCAGAGAGAGCCACCTGCCTCTGACTCTGCCTCCGGAGTTATGGGATTAAAGGTGTGGGCCACCACCAGCAGGCTACTTTTGGGGTTCTAAGATAGGGTGTTATTGTACAGTTCAGGCTGGTCTAGGACATGCTATGATACAGCCCCAGCTGGTCTGGCACTAGCAATTCTGCCTCCTAAGAGCTGCGATTACATGCCTGGTCACACACTCACGGTGTGTGTGTGTGTGTGTGTGTGTGTGTGTGTGTGTGTGTGTGTGTGTGTGGTTTTGGAGTTTTTTGTTTTAACTATTAGATTGATTCATTTTATTTATTTTATTTTATGCGTGTGTTTTGTCTGAATGTACGACTGTGTACCGAGTGTCTAACGAGAGGGCGTTACATCCCTGGAACTGGAGTCACAGATGGTTGAGCCACCCTGTGGTGCTGGGAATGGAACCCAGGTCCTCTATAAGAGCCATCTCTCCATTCCAATCAAGTATTCTGACTTATATTTTAATTTCTTTTAAATAAGCACGTGAGTAAGGAATTCTGGACTATTCTAGATACTATTTGGTATTATTTGAACATGTTAGACATTGTTCGTACCTAAACTTTTTTAAGAGCAACAACACTGAGTCCTTGTAGGAAAAGAAACCCAGAGCTCCATTTGGCCACTCTGGAGAATCAACGTTCCTTGGACTCCGCCCTAGCTCCATCTGCGGTTCTGTTATTTGGGTCTTGATTAACTACGTAGAGGGGCGGAGCCAGATCGGGAGTCTTCCCATCTGCTGTCCAACTTCCTTCTTTGCTGCTTTGGGTTTTATTGCGCATATATGATACTCTGTTTGCTGCAACTGCTGAGGTCAGTTTCAAGGGAGGCACAAAGCTGTTTTTGAATTTCCTTTTCTAAACCCAAATCCAGGGTTGGAGGCACACACTTGGAGGGAGAGGTTTCTCCCTTATAAAATTTCCTCTTGTAGAACTCTTTCCAGGCCTTTCCCATTCTCTCCCACGACAAGGTCCCAGGCCACTCTAAAGAAATAACTGTAACTTTAGCAAAGGGCAGTATCATGTGATACTAAAAAGAACTCCACCCCGCCCCTCCGAGACCTTAGGATCCGTTCTCTCCAAGTTTTTTCCTTCCTTCTTCTTTAATTTGAAGCTTGCAAAGAAAAAAGTGGTTAGAAGAGATGAACAAGGAAAGACTATTGATTTTATGATTTTGTAGCTTCCAGAGCACACACCAGGCACAGTGAGGTGCACCTCTAAGCGCATTTCGGGTGCTGAGGTAGAAGATCCAGCATAGACTACAGTGTGAGTCCAGTCTCAAAAGCAAAACACCCACATCCACACACATAAACACAATCCCCAAACAGAGCAGGACCTCGCCTGTTCTGCTTCCTTACTTTGTTAGGTGTCTGCTCCCTCTCCCCCTCTCCCCCCCATAATGCTGTTGCCTCTCCACCCCCTCTTCTCCCCTCTCCCACACACATACCTCTGTCCTTGTCTCTTTCAAGTTAATGGCTTAATTATGATTTGCTGACTACTAATTTACCTGAGCCTGACTGTCTTCACTCAGCTTTCTGATGTATCTTGATGAGAAATGCCAGTAGGCATGTCAAACTCACATTCTCCAGAATAGAACGTTTAGTCTTCTCCAGTGCCATGAACACACCTGCTTTTCTCCTGTCTTCATTCACTAAGTAGGACCAATGTTTAGGACTCCAGCTGGAAACCTACGCCTTACCTTTGATGCCCTCCTCACCTGCCACTGAAACTTGATCTTCCTCCAAAATGTATTTAGAGTCTCTTAATTTCCTCTTGCTCTCATTCCTCATCCTGTGGTTAGGTTATCACTTTTACTCTGAATTACAACAATAGTCTCCTGGCTACCTGGAGTCCCAGCTTCCAGTCTTTTTTTTTTTTTTTTTTTTTTTTTTTCTGAGACAGGGTTTCTCTGTATTGTTTTGGAGGCTATCCTGGAACTCGATCTGTAGAATAGGCTGGCCTTGAACTCACAGAGATCCACCTGCCTCTGCCTCCTGAGTGCTGGGACTAAAGGTGTGCGCCACCAACGCCCGGCTGCTCCAGCTTCCATTCTTATAATAACCCATTCTCCAAGTAGCAGCGAGCTACATGCTTTTTTTTTTTTTTTTTTTTTTTGTAGACAGGGATTCTCTGTGTAGCCCTGACTGTCGTGAAACTCACTCCATAGAACAGGTTGGCCTCAAACTCACAGAGATCTGCCTGCCTCTGCCTCCAGAGTGCTGGGATTAAAGGCTTGGCACAAGTGGGATTTTTATTTTGAGTTATTTACCTTCCTGTTTAAGGAACTTCATGCAAGACAGATTGTTTCAATCTTGGAAGAAGCTGTTATATGACAGTGGGGTCCTGGCACATTGTTTTCTTCATCCTTCAAAAATTATTTTATTATTTTATGTGTATGAGTGTTTTACCTGCAGGTATGTCTGTGTACCACTTACATGCCTGGTGTCTGAGGAGGCCAGAAGAGGGCCTCAGATCCATCTGGAACTGGAGTCATAGACAGTTCTGAGCCACTATGTGGGTGCCGAGAACCAAACCTGGGTCCTCTGGAATAGCAGCAAGTGCTCCTAACCAATGAGCCATCTCCTTAGCGCTCTCCACCCTTTGGGAGTAAGAACCAGTGGCAGGAATGAGCCAGCAGTGTGCTCCACCCTCTTTCATGGAGAACTGAAAAGGTCCCAGGAGCCTAAAGGCCAGCAGAGGGCAGTGAAAGAGAAGTTTGGTCAACTGCTGTAGCTGAGACTCTGACAGCCAGAGTCAAAAGAGGTCACTATTGATCCCTCCCACACGCACACAATTCTGGGTGCTGTAGCATGGGG